CGTTGACTGCCCGCTCACGGGTTGCTGACTGCCCACTCACGGGCCGCTGATTGGGTCAACCAATGTGGACTTTTCTTGTATTTAAAATATGCCACTCATCCGTCGCAAAACGAATTCTTCAAATTCTAATCTCGATTCCGTTCTTGCGCATTCTTGAAATCCTAATGTAGTATATATGCCCATCCAATCTTGTAATATGGTTGTACATACGCGCATTGCGCATACTCAAAATCCACACCTCACCCGTTTTGAAATAACTAATTGCGCTATTAAATACATGAATACTCGAAGTATTAAAACTTCTTCCGAATCCATCGGTAAAGTGAACCAATCTCAAAATTCGGTTTTGTATCCGGTTATAAATCCAAGGCTAGTGCGAACTTCATACGCACCGCCGTGTCCGTAGACGGATTCTTGTTCCAACTCAACTCAGGACCGAAGACCCACATCGCACACCTCTCAGCAGGAGAAGGACAAGTCGGCAAGGCCAAGTGTTCGTGACCCTTCGCCATCTGCTTCGCTCCCGAACGTTGTCCGAGGCGTTGACGGGCATCACATTTATGCGCTAATCGCGTTGCTCTCGATACACGCCGAAGAACAACACCATCCTTGACGGAACACGTTACTCGGCGTATCAAACATGCCGCAACAGTCCAGCTTTGTTGTGGGAACGACGTTGACGCGCTCTTCCGTGGGACATGGAGGCTATCGTACTCTGACTCATCTTATCACGTCAACAACCGGGGCTTCACGTTGTCCACTGTGCAGACCGTCGACGACCATACCTGCCCAAGATTTGATCGTCTTCGCCAACGCCGGCTCATCCTCCCTCAAGATCTTCCTCTTCCAACCTTCAGGCTCATCCTCGCATTCAGACCCTCGTGGACTTTGTCATTGAGCCTTCTATCGGCTGTCTCTCCTCTTGGCGGGCACGCTTTACACTCGTTCACGAAGACGCCTCTCTCTCCGACTCCAGCCAAAACTTCGTGAATGAGCAGGAAGACAGAATGAAAGACCGTGCCCCCGCCTTCTCTTCCAGGCCCACATGGCGTTAGATCTCGGGGACAAGAGGGCGTTAGTTCCGCCAAGGTGTCGTACACGGCGACTACTACTCCAAGTCTATCGCCATCTCCTCCAAACCTACCGCCACGTTGAGATGCTTGCCAACCTCGCCTGCTTCTACGTCTCCTTCCACCCTATGCCGAACGACGCGATATGCTGAGGCTTGCATGTGGATAGACATAACGACGCTAGCAGCCCTTCAAGCCTGCTCCAGATATCTCTGCCAAACGCACGCTCGATCGCCGACTCTGACAGGACTCCCTGCCCGCGTCGCGTCCCCTTCTATCGCCCGTCTACGCGGCCCTAAGGAACACGACCTTTACAGGTCCACTGGATGTCATGTACGTGCTTCCTCTCCCTCGAGCGCCCTTCCTCATTCATATCATATCATATGACGTTATGTAGGCACGTACATCTGCCCCGTGTCTACTGCCCTCTGCTGCAAAACCCCTCCCATGTATCCCTCATCACCTTCCATCTCGGCTCCTGCGCCCCCGCCTGCGCCATTCAGGCTGACTATTCCTTCCATGGACACCTATATGGACACCACCCTGGGCGCACGGCCGCACGAACGCGGCGGACCTGACCCTGATCTTCTGTTGCACCAATACCGCCGGCCGCATTTTGCACGATCCTGCTCACGCGACGAGCGTAGGCCTGTCCGAAGCGAAAGAGCTCACGTCCAAGAAGGACGGGATGGAAGACGATGACCGGCTCCGCAATCGTGGAGATATCGCGAAACGGGACACGGACGAGATGAAGAGGTGCGATTGCGACGGTATCGTATGCTTGAGCTTGTTGTAAACATGAAGTTGGAGATGCTGACGTTTTCCGTATGTCTGTAGGTTTGCCTTCGAACTGCCGGTGGGCCGCATTTTGGTCTGCGCCCCGGGGAAGCGTCGACGACGCGCTCGTCATCGCGGATAGTGCGCGGGATTTGACTTCGCGAGGAGCCATCTACGTAAGAAGTGTGGGCAGTATGCGGCGGATCGAGTCTGTACCTGAGTTGAGACTCTACTTTCGCAGGAGGATATAAAGGAGACGCTTATTCGCTCACTATCGCACGGACACGTCTTCCACGGGACACGATTCCTTGTGCATCGACGCGAGCTGAAACCTCTGCTTTTCGACGAGCGCCTCCGCAGCGTCCCGAGACAGACCCTTGCGCCCCACGATAACCCGGGACGCCCCGCGGGAGTCGCACACCAGCCAGTTCTTCGTCACGCCGTCACTTGTTCAGCCGCGCTGCGCGGCGGCGCGTCAGTTGCAGGAGGCTTCTTGCCGTAGATCGAGCACTTGAGGTATGCGGAGGAGGGAGAGAACTGTATCCTCGGCAGGGATGTTTTGTTGGGCTGTTACTGGCGATGGACGCGGCTTTCTTAAGACACGACGCGGTGCGGGAGAGGATGGCGGAGAGGTGAGGAGCTTTTGCGAGCGCCTCTCATTTGGGTGAGAGACTGCTAGTACGGTCCAGGGCTTCTGCAAGACAGTTAAAGAGTACATGGAATTTTGAACGCGACTGATTCGGTGCGCAGTTATCTCGTCCTGATGCCGTACGTGACCAGAGTCGCGTATATCGACCGTGCACCATGATGACACATTAAGGGTGGCGAGAGGTCGGAAGTCAAGGGTGCGCATCTAGGGTATGGATATAGCGTCGGCGATCTTGCGCTGCACAGTGCGTTAGCATATGAGCGACGGATGTCTAAGACGAGAGGGGCGCGGCGTAGTTCAGTCTGAGAGGTGGATGATGTGCAAGGGCGGTTGTGATGGAGCTCATGAGGACAACGACTCCGCAGACGCTGCCAAGCCTGCTGGAGATTTGAAGGGACAAGCGCCGGTCGGGGCGCTTGAGCTCAAGCGCCCGGATGACCTCTCGTTTCAATTCTCGCTTATCAACATCCCCGGGCTCAGTGTCAGGACTGGTATGGGAAAAAGACACGGGCATGGTCAGCCTCAGATGCGCGCAGGGTTTGGGAGGTGCTGAGCAACACCAGCGCAGCTCACGGTTATGCATGTAGGACTAAGTGAGCATTCTGTCCCGCTATATATGCTCTCTTGCTATCATGCATACTGTCGATACCATGAGATCAATTAGATGAACGAGTTTCAGACGGGCTCAACCTCTCTCTCCATCGTCCACCAACGTCCCGCTATTCGTGTCCTCCATCAGGCGACGACCCTGCGCCGCCCACCTCTAGATTTTGATCGCTACCGCGTTTGACCTCTGCCTGCGTCACAACGTTATCCTTGACTCCATCCTGTTCGCCACCACCGTCCTGATGTTCGACGTGATGCGCCAGTGGATCTTGGCTCGACGTAGAAAATGGGTGGTGGGCTGGGATTCTATCCGACGTATCGTCCGCATCCTGTCTGTCTGATGCAGGCAATGTCGGTGCGCTGGCACACTCGACGTCGCGCTCGATCTCACTACTCTGTTCCTCTGTAATAGTCGCTGAAGTGCTGCCTTCGGCTGTAATCATCTCCGGGGCTTCAAGGAGAATTCTCTCGCCATGAGAAAGCGAGGGTTCGTCGGGAATGTTCTGCTTTCCAGTTCCGCGCTTGCGCGTCTCGACCCGGAGCGGGCCAGAGTCTGTTCCCGGCGCCTGAAGGATTGTGGAAGTCGAGAGTACGTTTGACGCATCTACCCCATGATCGGGTGGTGTACCACCGCGATCGCTCTTGTACGAAGCGGCTTGGTTGACGGGTTCCGTACCGAGATGCGACCTAGATACGGATTTCCGACCAGAGTTCGAATGCAACAGGGCATCATGAGGCGGATCCGAGGAAGGGCGGGCTTCCCCTCCGTCGTCTGGTGTGGGCTGAATCTCGAAGTACTCGTATACATCATTTGCACTGTTCCAGCTGTCATCCCAAAAACGATCATCATTAATGAATGCACTGATGATTTTCTCATCCGCAAGGGAGTTGCGTCGGTGAGCCTCCAAAATAAACTTCGCGACCTTTCTTGAACAATCGGGGGCCCCGGTGCGCGAATGGTGTGCCAGAAAACCGACAAGATTATTCCAGTCCACCCTCAAGTCTCCTGCAGCAACAGGCTGTCGGTTGCCAGGCTCGGTCCATAGCGAGAGCGCCTCTACCAAACGGTCACCAAACGTACTCATAGCCGTGCTCCAGTGTTGGGAGTCGTTCAAGAATGTACGTGCATGGGTGACCACGGACACCGCCGCCCAGAATCGGAGACGATGCAATGGATCCGTCCGAAACACGGCACGGTCATAGCATGAACATGCAAGCTCAAGCACGTCAGCCATTTCTTCCGGTTCTGCAAACATCCAGTCAGCCTTGCTATCGCCACAGGAAAGGTATGCATGCACCCAGCCAGATGTACAGCATGTGACTCCCAAGTGCGTGAATGAAAGCAAAAATCTTCTCATTCGCGCGGCTTGTCAGTGAGGACTGGTTGGAGTTTGCGAGGGTTTTGAGAAGGAAGACGATGCGTGGGGCACCGAAACTACGGTTCATATATGCAATGAAGGTCATCATTGCCAGTGAGTTGACATAGAGGCCGAACCAAACGTCAATGTCGCTCATCGAAGCATGAAGGAGCATATCGAGATCGGACTTCAGTAGTTCGAATATGAGCGAAATTTGGGTATCGTTGAAGGATGTCAGCGAATCGAAGGCATGATACAGTTTGTCGTAGTTGATTGCGACGGTTCCCTGGGCATCGTTGTATTTGCACTCCTTGTCGAGTACATCGAGCGCCGGGATTTTAGGTCCGACACATGGCATCCCCAACAGCTCGGAGATGGCCTTCCAGTATGCACGCAGGCGTAGCTCCGGCGTTACAGGCCAAGAATCGTCATGTCGTTGGAGGGCAGAACGGGTGCGCACGCGCGGTCCTGGTGCATCAGAAATGCAATTCTTGATCACACCGTCTCTGGGTTCCTCATGTGAGGCAAGCCACAGCAGCGAGTGGATTTGAGTTGCGATGCTGCTCTCTGAGTCACGTCCGAAGCGCCGCAAGGCGAGATCGCGATGATCCCATCCATCGAACGCGTACATGTCGGGGACGGGAGAGCTGAGATACATCCAGAAATAACGGGTATATCTGAGCCAGGCCGGCCAGTCCAGTAGGTATAGATATCGCATAAATCCTCTGATCACGTGGTAGAACGGTTGTAGGATAGACAGAATCATCCATCCGAACGGTGTCTTGTATGGACACGTCTCGAAGAACAGCGGTAGTAGTACAGTCAGCGTCGCCAGGAATGTGGTCAGGCCAGCGGCAGCGCAGCACACCCCAGCCACGACGGTGTCAATGGGCCACAGTAGAGTGACGAGACCGACGAAGAAAAGCACGACCGCGAGCTGCAAAAGGCCAGGAACCAACGTCACGATAGTGGGGACTTTCCAAGTCTGAAAGGCATCGTAGCGGAACTTTCGAAGCTGTATGGCGTGCTGAACGGGGGAGATATTCGGCCATGCCATGTACTCGCGAAGCCATTGCTTCACGAATATGCCCAGGAGAGCAGAGGCAAGGGCGAGGATGAGGCTTAGGAACCAGAGGGTATTGATCGCGACCACATGGGAATCGGCCTGAAAGGACATGTTGAGCGGATCGACGGGCGCAGGTGCGGCTTGGTTCAAGGAGATCTGCTGGAGCTGGAGAGAAATATTCGAGAGGAGTTGGACGGAGAGCTGAGTGTTGTCCGGCTGCAGTTGCGTGTATACTTCAACGAGGAAGGCGGTGAGTACCGCAGAAAACAGACCCGCCTAATACGCACGTTACTTCAATAAGCGCGGAAATGGACGAGAATGAAGCGTACGAAGATGAGGAGGTTATCGATATCCTGCGAGTAGCCCTTGATCATTTCCTGATCGTACAGTTGCAGTCGTTTGTATACGTAGTCCCATCCCGTGGCATCAGATGTCGCCGCCTTCGCTTGCGCGGGCTGTCGGGGCGTCGCATCTCAGTAACCATGCGGCCTTATTATGAATGTCGTGTCTTACGTTCGCCTTGAGGTCATGTGTGGACGGCGGCTCGTTGCGATGGCCAGCTGCATCGGCTCCGTTTCTAGTTGCGAAGCCTCGTTCTGCCTCCACCGACCTGACGGCTTCATCGTGAGCATCTCCTTCTCGAGTCGAGGATTGGTCATTGCCAGCATTTGGCACTGATTCGTCCTGCGGTGAACAGCTCAGCGACCGCTCGCTTGTAGAGTCGACCCAGATCTCGTCTCACCTGAAGCCCGGGTTCCTCTCTGGACCCGCGTCCTTCTTCGACGCTAGCCAATTCGATGGAGGTCCGTCGTGATGCCATGCAAGAGCGGGTTGAACACGTGTAGACCGTATGCGTAGGGAGAGGAGGGAGCAGCACGAGGGCGGCGGGCAAGCGGCGATAGGTGCTTTATAGCTTCGTGCAGTGGGCGCTTTGAATTAGCCCAAGATAGCGTACGGTTTCGCACAGCGTATGCGTATTGACAGCGTGTGTCCGCACTACATCCCGACAATAGGGCACATAACCCCCTTCAAACCTTCATTGATCAAATCTAGACGCTGTACCCCAACCAGATGCCGGCACTTTCTTGGCAGGGGGAAGGCAGACGGTGGGTTTGAGACCGAGTTGGTAAAGATAAATAATAAGATTCAAGCCCTAAGACCTGAGGACTCGGGATCGTGGCCGTTCAATATGACCGATCTCTGTTCTTTGCTTCAGAACGCGTTGACGAGCATCGCCTCAATTGTGCTTGGGTTTCTCCTTGCCGCGCGACACCACACATGAATAACTCGCTCAGATATTAGTCCACGGGTCTCCAGTATATAATGAAGAATACTGCTGAGATGCTCACCGGCGATGACACGGGACTGACGTCGACGCGCTGGAGATAGACCGATCATGCCGCACACGGAGGATACCCAACCATATCGACGGCACTGACTTCACCTTTCTGCGACCACTCTTGGTACCGACCACGACCATGCCCATCCAACGACAAGGCCTGATCCTTTCCGTCAACGCTGGCTCGTTCTCCCTCAAGGTTTTCTCTTCAAGCCCTCAGGATCCACTTCCTCGGACAACCTCGAGTTTTCCATTGACAATCCCTCTTCCCTACCCGCCCGCTTCACTCTGGAGCACGAAGACGCCTCTCCGTCCGACTCGTCCCAAGACGTCCAGAAAGAACAAAAGGATGTCATCAAAGACCACACGTCCGCGTTCTCCTAGTTCCTAGACCATCTGGAGCATGGATCCGGCATCAAGAAGGGCGACCTCCAACAGGTCTACTACCGCGGCGTCCATGGCGGCGACTGCGCAGAGCCCGCCAGCATCTCCGAGACCTACCACCACACCGAGAAGCTCACCGACCTCGCCCCTCTGTACATTTTTTCTATCTCCTTCTCTCTTTCACGCCTATCATGCTGACGCTGGAACTCGGACAGACATAACGGCGCCGCCCTAGCCGCCATCCAAGCCTACCTCAAATCCCTCCCGAACGCGCACTCGATCGCCTACTTCGACACCACCTTCCACCGCGCACTCCCCGCCCACGTCTCCTCCCACGCCATCGACCCCTCCGTCGCCCGCCCGTGCAGCCTCGTTTTTTTTCTGTTTTGTTTGTAGGTTGGCCTTTGACCTGTTCATGGACCATATCCTCGGATACGTCGGCGCCTACTTCGTCGCGCTGCAGGGCAACTTCGATGCTCTTGTATTCGCGGGCGGCATCGGCGAAAAGTCGGTTGAGCTCCGGGAACGCGTTGCGGAGCGCGTGCGGTGTTTGGGATTCTGGCCTGTGGATCCCAAGAAGAACGGGGGCGTGGGGGATGTGGAGGGGCGGTGGTGGATATCACGGCTGAGGAACAGGAAAAGGGACGGGGGAGGAAGGTGTTGGTGCGTAGGACGGACGAGTAGTACGAGATGGCGAGAGAGTACGTTTTGGAGGATGCTTTTTGGAAGTGAAGACGTACAAGGTGCTGGCTGTTGTACACCTGCTCCTTTTCCGTACGCTGATGTTTCCGTCGGAATAGATAAAGATCGTGAATAATATGGTACAGCGCGACACCAATAACGATTTATTGAATTCGATATGCTTTCGCGTCGTCGTCAGCTCCAACTACCGCGAAGACGAGCACGTACGGTCCATACATCCTCAGATACGAAGACGCGAACAACACGGTATTACTAACATTGCTTGTTCAGACCTGCCCAACACTCTATAGGTCATCATGTTCTAGGGCAATCGATATGGGCGCTCCTCGGCTATCGTGCACAACGTCACCTTCCGCGCTCCAAGGCAACAGATGGGCTTCATACCTCGGATTCCCCCATCACACGTCCACCAGTGTCCTGTCCCGAGAAGCCCGAGGACCCATCCTCCGTCCCAGGCGACGACTCGGTGTTGTCTACGTCCCCTACCCCAATGTTATCGGCGCGATCGTTCTCGACACCTGTATGGGAACACCCGCCAGCCCTCCACCACCGTCCTGACTTTCGACGCGAGACACCGGTCGATCTTGACTCGACGACAGGACTCCGTCATAGGGTGAAGTACGACTCGACGTGTTCTGTGTGTCCAAGGTATTAGGCGGTAGCGGCGCGCTCGCACGCCTGACGCCGCGCTCCAACCCCGCACCACTTTCTCCTGCAAGAGCCGACGAAGTGCTACCCCGGGCACTGATCTTTGGGCCTTGAAGGACAATTTGTCCGCGACGAGGAAACGAGTCATCATCGACGATGCTCTCCTGTCCACCTCCGGTCTCCCCATTCGAGTGAGAGTCGGTCCGCTGCGCCTGCAGGGTCCCGGAAGTCGAGAGTGCGTTCGACGCGGAAGCCCTATGATAAGATGGCGTGCCATCGTGACCATCGTCGTACGAGACGGTTTCTTTGTTAGGTTCTGGACCGAGAAGTGGCGTTGACTCCGTGTCGGGAACGGAATGTGCATGTGGTAGCACTGACAGGGCGTCTTGGCGCGTATCCGACGAAGGACCGACGGCCCCTCCGCTGCCCGGTGTTGGGTTAACCCCAAAGTATTCGTAAACATCGTTTGCATTGTCCCAGCGTGTACCCCACCGATGACGCTCGTTGATGAATGCCTTCATTATTATTCCATCCGCGAAGGTTCCGCGCCGATGAACCTCTAAAATGAAATTTGCGACCTTTCTTGAGAAATCGGGGGCGGTGTCCGAATGGGATCCCAGAAAAGAGGCTAGATCATACCAGTGCACCCTCAAGTCTCCTGCAGCAACAGGCTGTCCATTGCGAGGCTCGGTCCATAGCGAGAGCGCCTCTACCAAACGGTCACCAAACACATTCATAGCCGTGCTCCAGTGTTGGGAGTCGTTCAAGAATGTACGTGTCCTGGTGACCACCGACACCGCCGCCCAGAATCGGAGACGATGCAATGGATCCGTCCGAAACGCGGCACGGTCATAGCATGAACATGCAAGCTCAAGCATGTCAGCCATTTCTTCCGGCTCTGCAAACATCCAGTCAGCCTTGCTATCGCCACAGGAAAGGTATGCATGCACCCGGCCAGATGTGCAGCATGTGACTTCCAAATGCGTGAATGAAGGCAAAAATCTTCTCATTCGCGGGGCTTGTCAGCGAGGACTGGTTGGAGTTTGCGAGGGTTTTGAGAAGGAAGACGATGCATGTGGCACCGAAACTAATGTTCATATTTGCAATGAAGGTCATCATTGCCAGTGAGTTGACATAGAGGCCGAACCAATCGTCAATGTCGCTCATCGAATCACGGAGGAGCATATCGAGCCCGGACTTGAGTAGTTCAGATATGAGCGAAATTTGGGTGTCGTTGAAGGATGTCAGCGAATCGAAGGCATGATAAAGTTTGTGGTAGTTGATTGCGACGGTTCCCTGGGCATCGTTGTATTTGCACTCCTTGTCGAGTACATCGAGCGCCGGGATTTTAGATCCGACACATGGCATCCCTAACAGCTCGGAGATGGCCTTCCAGTATGCACGCAGGCGTTGCTCCGGCGTTGCAGGCAAAGAATTATCACGTCGTTGGAGGGCAGAACGGATGCGCACGCGCGGTCCTGGTGCATCGGAAATGCATTTCTTGATCACACCGTCTCCGGGTTCCTCATGTGAGGCAAGCCACAGCAGCGAGTGGATTTGAGTTGCGATGCTGCTCTCTGAGTCATGTCCGAAGCGCCGCAAGGCGAGATCGCGATGATCCCATCCATCGAACGCGTACATGTCAGGGACGGGATATTGACAATCCCAAAAGTACCACATAATGGCTTGGAGCCAGTCCGGCCGGTTCCAAGAGTATAGGGAGTACAGAAATGGTCTGATGACGCGGTAAAACGGTCGTAGAATAGGGCGTATCATCCATCCGAACGGTGTCTTGTATGGACAAGTCTCGAAGAACAGCGGTAGTAGTACAGTCAGCGCCGCCATGAATGTGGTTAAACCGGCGGCGGCGCAGCACACTCCAGCTACGACGGTGTCAATGGGCCAAAGTAGAGTGACGAGCCCGACGAAGAAAAGCACGACCGCGAGCTGCAAAAGGCCAGGAACCAACGTAACGATAGTGGGGACTTTCCAGTTTTGGAAGGCATCGTAGCGGAACTCCCGAAGCTGTATGGCGTGCTGAACGGGGGAGATGTTCGGCCATGCCATGTACTCGCGAAGCCATTGCTTCACGAATATGCCGAGGAGAGCAGAGGCGAGCGCGAGGATGAGGCTGAGGAACCAGAGCGCGTTGATCGCGACCACATGGGAATCGGCCTGAAAGGACATGTTGAGCGGATCGACGGACGCAGGTGCGGCTTGGTTCAAGGAGATCTGCTGGAGCTGGAGAGAAATATTCGAGAGGAGTTGGACGGAAAGCTGAGTGTTGTCCGGCTGCAACTGAGTGTAGACCTCAACCAGAAACGCGGTGAGGACCGCAGAAAATAGACCTGCCTGGAGTGCACGCTGCCTTAGCAAGAGCGGGAACGGACGAACTGGATTACGCACAAAGATGAGGAGGTTGTCGATATCCTGGGAGTAGCCCTTGATCATTTCCTGATCATATAACCGTAATCGGTCGTACACGTAGTCCCAGCCCGTGGCGCCAGGTTTTGTCGGCTTGTTTTCCGCGGGCTGTCAAAGAATCGCATGTTAGTCACTGGCGGCGTTATTCGAGCATGTCGTGCCTTACTTTCGTCTTTAGCTTGTGTTCGGATGGCGGGTCGCGATTGCCCGCTTCCTCGTCGACGTTTCGAGCTTCTGAGCCTGGTTCGTCGCCCACTACGGGCCGGGTAGCTTCATTACGAGCATCTCCTCCTTGGCTCGTGGATCGGCGGTTCCCAGTGTGCGGCACGTCCTACGGCCGACCGATCAGTGATCGCCGTTTGAACAGTACGGCTTAGACCTCGTCTCACATGCTGCAGGGGTTCTTCTGGAGGTTCAGGTCCTCGTTCAGCGGTTTCTAATACCGGGCTGGAGGGTGGTGGCGACGCCATACGAGAGCGAGTTGAACAGGTGTGAGTGGTATGGATGGAGAGAGGAGGGAACGGAGGGAGCGCGGCGAAAGGCGTTTATAGCTCCAGGCAGTAGGCGCTCGAGCGCAGAGCGAAGCTTCATATCGGTCCAAGATAGTTTGCGCCGTACGCGTGTTGACAGCGTGTATGCACTACAATCCATATATGTACTTATGAGTGCATATGTCCCGTTTCGTAGAGATCCTCTTGTTCCTTGCTCGATCCAGGACCGAAGACACACATCGCAAGGCTCTCAGCAGGAGAAGGATGAAGTCGGCGAGGACGAGCGCTCGTCGCGAGCATCGCCACCAATTGCTTTGCCCGAACGTGCGTTGATAGGCTTCCCTTTTTTTGCTACGCAATCGCATTGCTTTCGATAATACATACTGCAACAACTCTATCCTTGTCGGAACACGTTAGTCGGCGTATCAAACATATCGCGACGGTCCGGGTTTATTTTGGGACACAGGACCAATGCCGACGCGTTCCTCCGTGGGGCCCGGAGGCCGACCGCCAGCGCGCAAAGAGGATATCATATCGTATCAGGTCGACAATCCGGGCTTCACGGTATTCATTCCTGCGCTCGCTGACGACGACCATACCCGCCCAACGACAAGACTAATTCGTTGCTGCCAAGGCCGGCTCATCCTCCCTCGAGATGTTCCTCTTCGTACTTTCAGCTCTTCCTCGTGATCAGACCCCATCGTAAAACATATTTTTGCCTTCTATCGACCACCTTTTCCCCCGGCCGGCGGGCTTCACACCCGAAAACGAAGATGCCTCTCCGAGTCGGAGAAGACTCGGACTCCAGCCAAGACGTCAAGAAGGAGCAGGAAGACTTCATCAAAGACCACGCTCTCTCCCTCTCTTCCTCGACCACTCGGAGATTGAAATCGCGATAAAGAGGACCTTGAGTAGTTCAGGCACCGCGTGGTACACAGCGGCGACTGCTTCGAGCCTGTCGCTATCTCCTTCATCCTCCAAACATACCCTACATGGAGGTTCTCGCCGACCTCGCGTTTTTGTGTGTCTCCTTCTTCCTATTCCAAATGATATGGTATGCTGACGCTTGCATCTGGATAGACACAACAGCGCCGCCCTGGCAGCCCTTGAAGCCTCGCTCAAATCTCTGCCAAAAGCACGCTTGATCGATGACTTCGACACAACCTTCCAGTACGGTTTTAATCCCGGCGTAGCCTCTTACGCCGCCAACACCTCGACCGCGCGCCCATGCAGCCTCAAAAACACGGCCTTCAATGTACGTGCCTCCTCTCCCTCTCCTCTTCAGATTCATCTCACGTCATATTACGCGATGCAGAAACATACATCATCCGTACCGTCTCCACCACGTTCGCAAACCCACCTCCCAAGTATCCACCGTCGCCCTTTACCTCGGCTTCAGCGCCTCCACCTGCCCCATCCAGGCTGGCCGTTCCATCAACATCTCTGTGGGCCTTACCCCGTCCCACGGCCTCGGGGCCGCGATGCACCTGAGCCTGATCTTCCGTTACACCAACACCGCCGGCCGCATGTCCCACGATCCCGCGCACGCGACGAACGTGGACGTGTCCGAGGCGAAGGGGATCATGAACAAGAAGAACGGGTGGTACGCTCGATCTCAGAGGTGTCGCGAAACGGTGCACGACCGAGGAGAAGTGAGTTTGCGACAGTAACCTCTCCTTGAGGTCGGAAATGTAAGGCCGAAGATGCTTATTTTTTTCGTTTGACTGTAGGTTGGCCTTCGACCTGCCGGTGGAGAAGTCTCGACACGTTCGTCATCGCGGAGAGAAGTGGGTAGAGGGCTCGGCGACCCCGTTGAACGTGTAGATGGCGTCGGCGATCTTACACTACAGGAGGGCCAACGCGATCTCGAGCAACGTATGTCCGGCATGAACGGGGCGCGACGTACTTGGAAGTTTGCGCGAGGCGTCGGCGCTGGTTGGCTCGCCTTGGGTGGTGGCTGGTGCTGCAAGGGCAGCGGTGATAGCTCGTGAGGACAGTGCGCCCGACGCCGCAGAGGTCGCTGTCAAGGCTGGAGACTGTGGGGAAGTGCCGATGGGGCTGTGTGTCGGTGGGTGATCCCCTCGTTCGAATTCTCGCCCGACACCACCAGCCGGGAGGAGGGGACGACAAGTCAGTTTGACGTGACTGCGCCTTCGTTGCGGTGTGGATGGAGAGCAGGTGGCGGAACGGGGATGGGACAGATGATGTTGTGTAATCACACCTCGAGATACCATGTCATGGCGGCGGCGATACGGGGCGGGGCGAGGGTGGACCCGAAGGTGGCCGTGGACGCGCACGAGGGGGTGAGCTACGTGTTGCACCTGGCCCGGAAGGACAGGGACTATGTCTTGGGCACGAGCCAAGGTAAGCGTTGATCCTCTGCCTTGTGTAACTTGTTCCCGTCGCTGATTGGGATGGTCCGCGCCTGCCTTCTTGTGCAGATCCGGTAAACACGTACGATGCGCCCGAGTTCGAGTAGGAACCAGGCGCAGCAGAGAATGTTAACTGGGCACGGAGTGCTCGGTAGAAGCAAAGCGTCTGTACAGTATGTACCTGTACGCTTGTATGATCTGAGAACACCTTATGGGAGAGACCATGATAACCGTCAGAGCGGACTTGCTCAGCACCGAGGACGTTGCCTTCAACCTACGCAGAAGCGGAAGGCAACGATAAGACTAATGTTCAACCTACCTCTGTGCAACAAGCGTGTATGAACCGGAAAATATACGACAATCCAATCTTCCTCAATCGCACGCCGGATCATTCTCTTGGGCGGGCTACGGTCCTGCAGCCCGTGTATCCACGGCGCGTTGAGAGACACCGGCAGGTGTGGGTGAAGCCTCTTGGCTTGGGCGTCAGCCGGGTGCGAGCGCGACGGCTCGCCCCCGGCCGACTCGGCCGAGTCTCTCTACAATCCGTGACACCAGATTTCCATCGGCGTCCCAAAGGGGCAAGCCTGTTCTCACGGTCCTTGGTGCCATGTGACTTGTGCTTGTCGTTTTCTTGTTTTGCGGAGCAGTGGGGTTGGGCAACGCCTACGAAGTAGGCGTAACCAATCCCACGGTTACACTGCCACACATCTACTTGATGTGCACGTTGTTGGGTGTCCATCCCCATTCCTCGACCTTTCTCCCAAGTCATAAATTCGGCAAAGCTCTACAAAATAAACAAAATGACATATCTTACTATCTTATCAATTTTGAACTCCATTGGTTCCTGCAAACTACGTGCTCCCTCCTGCAGAGCACCGTGAAGTGGCTGTGCTGAATCTGGTGGCTGACTCGCGATGCTCAAACTCCCGCAAAAAGAGTTCTTCTTGCATCAAGTGCCGTACCTTCCACAAAGGTTCTAAAATTGCACAACCCTTCTAGAATATTCTT